CGTAGAAAGGTCCCAGTGGGGTGAATACTTATGCAAGACGCTGTGTATGTGTACATACAAGTCAAAATAAATTGTATTTTTACAAACTCACCATCTTATCTGCCTGCTGCTTTCTGTCCATGTCCTGGAGAACTCTGCGAAGACAGACGAGGTCAGCATCATCTCAACGTCTTCCAAGTTTATGTTGCCATGACCACCTTGTGACCACCAGATCCTTATTTCCTCCCTTCAGGAACTTGGTGCCTCAGGCTCTTCTCTCTCCCTTCTCTCGTCCTACCTCCACGGACGCACCTACCGGGTAACCTGGAGAGGATCTGTGTCGGAACCTTGTCCTCTTACTACTGGAGTTCCTCAGGGTTCCGTCCTGGGTCCCCTCCTCTTCTCGCTCTACACCAACTCTCTCGCCGCTGTCCTGCGCTCACATGACTTCTCCTACCACAGCTATGCTGATGACACCCAACTAATTCTCTCAGCTAAATGACATGTAATGGAATGTAATGTATTAACAACGTCTACGTTGTAATATTAACGTTAGCATTTTAAGGAGTTTCCACTGATGTTTCTATGCATCAAACCATGTGTACTCATGTTGTGGTTTAAAGGACCCGTGGTATTTTACTATGGAGCCAAATCCAGGTCAAAAGTTTTGTTCATTTGAAAAACAAATGTGAACCTGAAAGTTCAAGTTTTGCTGTTGAACATTGAAAAATACAACAATGTATTCAAAATAAAAATAAGTGGACGAAAAATATTATATATAATAATATATATTTCAGGATGAATATAGTTTTGACTCAGCTCTATATTTTTTTTGAATAAAATATATTTTTTCAATCTTCACTTATATATATTTTTCGATATTCACTTCACTATATTTTTTGATTGCAGATTTTATATTTTCTGATTCAAAACTTATATTTTCACTTTCACTGTTTTTTTCAGATTCAGACTTTTGACCCTGAGGTCATGACCCCGTGGCCATGTAAGAGAGCCTCCCATGTCATAGTGACGAGAGAATGACAAGAAAGTTCCTTCGCTATCACTCGAGCAGGAGGTTTCTGACGTACGAGACCCCCCCCTCTCATCCATGCCCCTAGAACCTCCGGAGTCGACTGCTGCACCAGTATCCTCTACGGCCCCCCAACAAGATCCTCAACAAACGGTTCGACTGCTCACGTCCACCCGCCGCTATGAGCACATCACCCGGTCCTACGGAACCTCCACTATCCAAATATGACCCTAAACAACCTGCCCCCCACCTCTCAGACCTCCACCCCCTCCACCCGTTTCACCTTTGTTGTAGCTGCTCCTTTTCCTCCTTCAGCTTCTTCAGTCGCTCCAACTTTTCAGTGTATCTGCACAACAAAATATTAAAATATGTAGATCAGATCAGCACAGAGAATGATGTCATAGTTCTTTATTTTGTTGCTGTGGCCCCCTGGTGGTCTCCTGGTGGCCCCCTGGTGGTCTCCTGGTGGTCTCCTGGTGGTCTCTGAGGCCTTGTTTTGGAAACGGACCTCTGACATGAGGACAGTTATTTGGGGGACGTCTTACTGAGCAGAGACACGTAACCTGAACACAATCACTGCTCTTGGTTAGCTGCTAATGCTAACTAAACAAGGCTGCTCTATTGAGTTGGTGGGGCGACTAGATTACTAGATTACTAGATTATTAGATTATTAGATTTCAAACATGTAAAGAAATTTACTTGTCGAGTTATTTGAGATTCAATTGGATTCTTGAAACTAGATCTGATGTTAGAAGCAAACCCGTATATATAAAACTAAAATCTATTCAACCTGAAAATGATATCGGAACAACAAAGATACAAAATACAGGATTATTGTTTTCATTATGGTTATTCACTTTTCAATCGGATTATTTGTACAAACAGCTGATCGCTTGTTTATTCCTCCAAAACAACTTCAGCGATGTGAATCAGCAAAAGTTGAGGATTTGTTGGAATTAACTGAACCCAACGATGAAACGTCGGGTGGAAGCCGACGTGTGGTGTGTGACTGCGGGGGAGTTGGAGCTCCACACACCGGCCCTACCTCTCCGCGTTCCTCCCGTCCAGGGACACGAAGTCTCCGGCCTTGACGCAGCGGGCGCAGGTCAGCCTGCGGCGGGAGGTGCTGCACAGCGGGCACCGCTCCACCGCCACGTACAGACCCTCCGCGTCGTCCACCGACTCCACCATCAGGCAGCGCGGCGCGGAGGGACCCGCGTGCGGCTGCTGGGGCCGGAGGGGTGGCCTCCCGCCGCCGGAGGATGAGGCGGCGCGATCCGGGCCGAGCGGCTGGAGCCCCGCCGGGGACGCCATGGACGGGAAAGCTAGGGGCTAGCTGAGCTAACTGGCTAAGCTAAGCTAGGGTATTGAAGCTAGCGCGAGCTGTCCGCGCGTTCTACTCCTCCATGTCGGTCACGTGGCTTTAACGGTCAGAACAGACAGCGAGGGACAGATGTGTTTTTGTTTTGATGCGCGAGCGACGAGTCCGCCACTTCCGGTTTCCTCTGAAAAACGTGACCGGTTTGTTTATCAAGTGACGTAATCGTTGTGGGCGGAGTCAGTGAAACGCTGCAACTTCAGTAACACCAGTGTCTCTCAAACTGAGGGGCGCGACCCTCTATTCCATTCAATTCATTTTATTTTGTACACATGACACATTGCACAGAGCATCTAGTGTGTCTGTGATACCGGAGGTGCGTCGCATCGCAATTATTTCATTTCAAGAACTTTATTGCGAACTTCCCATCTTACAAAAGTACAGATTAAACGGACTGCTGTTGCCTCTCTAAACAAAATACAGACTCAAGCTGAACATTGAACATGAATTGAGGCGCTGCATCAGTCTACATTACATAACATGCCAGTTATCTGACGCTTTTATCCAAAGCGACTCCATAAGTGCATCAACCACAAGGACACAAACTCAGAAGAACAAGAAAGTGTGATTTCCTCAAACAAGCCGATGTCCAACTTGCTGTAGATAAGAACCATTATAAGTCCAATGTAAGTGCTACAGTTAGATAGTGTGTTAGTGGAGGTAGAGTCTGAAGAGGTGTGTCTTTAGTCTGAAGATGTGAAGGCTCTCTGTGGTCCTGATGTCTTCAGAGACCTCCTTCCACCATTTAGGAGCAGGACAGCAAAGAGTGGAGATCTAGTCGAGTGTTTTGCTCTCAGTGAGGAGGAACAAGCACTTTATCACATGCAGAGCGGAGAGTGCGGGTCGGGATGTCGGGTTGGACCAGGTCCTGGATGTAAGCTGGACCCCATCCATTCACAGCCTGGTACGTGAGCACCATGTTTAGAACTGGATGAGCCACCGGTACCAGTGGAGAGAGCGGAGGAGTGGAGGAGTGAGGGAGAACTTAGGAAGGTTAAAGACCAGTGGAGCTGCTGCATTCTGGATGAGCTGCAGAGGCTGAATGGTGGTAGCAGGAGACCTGCAGGAGACAGTTACAGTAGTCCAGGAGGGAGACGATAAGAGCCTGAATCAGTACCTTCTGAGTGAGAAGAGGACGTGTTCTCCTGATGTTGTAGAGCGAGTATCTACAGGATGGTGTTGTCAGTGATGTTGGAGTCAGGGAGAGTCGGCTGTCGACGTCACGCCGAGGTTCCTGCAGTCAAAGTGGACGTTAAGACAGAGTCGCCAAAGTTAACAGTCAGGTCCTGTGAAGGAGAATCTTTCCCCAGAAAGAGAAGTAGTTCAGTTTGTCGGGGTTGATTTTCAGATGGTGGGCGGATCCACTGAGAGACGTCTGTCAGACTCTAACTGAGAACTTCTGATGGAAGGAACTGTCCAAGGAGCTCAGACAGAATCGTGGCACAGCACAGATCTGCCCAAGGTAACAAAAGAATTTCTGCAGCACTCAAGGTTCCTCAGAACAGTGGCCTCCATGACCCTTTAATGGAAGAAGAACTCTTCCTAGACCTGAGACGTCCAGTCAAACTGAGCAATCGTGGGAGAAGAGCCTTGGTGAGGTGGAGCGGTGAAGAAGAACCCAAAGATCACTGTGGCTGAGCTCCAGAGACGCAGTAGGGAGACGGGAGAAGGTTCCACAATGTCAACGAGTGGCTTCAGAACATCTCTGAGAGACCTGACAATGGCGGCTCACCAACGTTCACCATCCAACCTGACGGAGCAGCAGAGGAGGAAGGCTCATGGCTGCAGCAGCTCAAAGGAGCTTCTACTCAAGACTGAGCAAAGGCTCGGAATACTTATGACCAAGTGATGTTTCAGGTTCTCTTTTTTAATACATTTGTTTTTTTTCTGTGGAGTAAATTAATGAGAAATAAAATGAACTTTTGATGAAAAGAGTGAACATTTTAAAGGGGTCTGAATACTGTACCCACTGTATTTAGAATAAGTAAATAAAAAGTTCTGAGATAGCTACAATGGAAATAACATTTTAAAAAGAGTTAAGTTCTTCATTATTTGAAATCTAAATGATTTAAATCAGATATTTCTGACTTCATGCTGTATATTCATGGGTTTAATCAGCTTAAATTGGATTTAAAAATACATAATCAACATTTTTTAACACATTTATTTTCTTTCTGGAGAGCGCAACGTTCAACAGAAACTCACTAACTAACATAAAATAGATGATTTATTTACAGATAAACAGGAAGTGATGTCACTGTTTCCTGAAGCCTCTCAGGATCGGGTAAATGTTTTCAAACGCCTCGTAGATCTCCTCTCGCTCTTTGGCTCCTGGAATCAAACACACAGCTCTGCAGTTATCACACCTTCAACGAACCAGCGAGCCACACATCATTAACCTGAACACGCACATGTTGTCTTATGATTACATCCACTGATTGTTGTGACACAACACATTAGTTTCTATGGCAACAACAGGAGTCTGAGGTTTAAAGGTGATTAAAGTGAGCGCTCCTCTGAACCACGTTACAGTGCCGGTACCCTCTAAACCAGGGGTCTCAAACTCAAATCAGCTGCGGGCCAGATGCAGCCCACTTCAACCGAACGCGGGCCGGACTAGCGTCCGAACGGCATGGTCGACAATAACACAACTTAACACTCACTTTCAAAAGCAGTCATTGAACCCCACCCTGGGGGATCGGTCCGAATGAGACTACAACACTAGTCCTCCTTTAACTCAGCGGGGGAGACCTAAGGTCATGTGACCGTGGAATTCCTTTATAGCCAAACGTGAAGTTACGTGAATCGAAGCTGCGTAGTAATGGACGGAGACGCTCGTCGGTGACGTCAGATGCTTCATGTGTCGTTAGTGTGAGTCGTAAAGGAAAACTTTATTAAACGAGCGATGCTAACGGTTAGTCACATGATCACCTGCGCGAAAGAGGGCAGGAAACTGAATTTCACCCTCCTGCTCTCTGCACCTCGGCCGACACACACGACCCGCCCCCCATGTCAGTCACACGCATGCCACGTTCACTGGACAAGCACACAGTAGGAAACCAGAACATCATAACATGTCCCACACAGCAGCTGACAGTGGGGTTACAGTATAAAACTTGCGGGCCGCACTAACATTACACTTTCATATTAAGGATGGGGCCACAAAATATCGTCCCGAGGGCCGCAATTGGCCCGCGGGCCGCGAGTTTGAGACCCCTGGTTTAGATGAATCCCTGTAAACTGCATCAATAGAATCTATCAAAATGAAACCTGAACAGCAGCGTTCTCTCCCTTTTATCATTGTCACGTGTCGTAGTTGGTTTGGTTTGAGTGACAGAGAGATGGAGGGAACCTGGAAGTGGAGAAGAAGACACACATCACATGTTCATAGAGACACATTCTCTCATTTCTCAAATTAGACTGAAGCAAAACATTCTCTTGCGAGTGATGCTACACTACACAGTCGGGCGACTGTGGGTGAGTGGGGAGCACGGTCGTCCTCCAATCAGAGGGTTGTCGGTTCGATCCCAGGCCCGGCTAACCTGCATGTCGTTGTGTCCTTGGGCAAGACACTTAACCCAACATTGCTCCTGTAGCTGCGACTACAGTGTGTGAATGGTAGTTACTGATGGCAGGTGTCACTGTGTGTGGTTCTCCTGTCATCAGTGTATGAATGGGTGTGAACGGGTGAATGATGTCATGTAGTGTTAAAGCGCTTTGAGTGGTCAGAAGACTAGAAAAGCGCTATACAAGTACAGGCCATTTACCATTTACCATTTACAAAACATTAAACTCAGTGGGTTAGAAGTTTAAGACCTGAAGCTGCTTTAATGCCGTTGGCTGCTTTGGTAAAGTGAAAGAAACCTGTAAACGTTCAGCAGCTTGATCCTCTCCTGCTGGGAGAGTGAACCTCATGTTCAACCGGGTAGCGGGGAGGAGATCCACGGTGGGGGAAGAGGACTGCGCTGAAATGAGGAACTCAGGAAGAACTTGGAATGATGTTCAGTGTACCGACTTTCTGCATTGGATCATTTCAAGGCTCAAGGGTTCAAGGATGTTTGCTGTCAGTGTGCAACAATGAAATGAAGTTGTAGCCTGTTTGTAACAACACGAGACTAATGACACAAAACAAAGATGAACTTCAGCGCTTGTGTGTGAGAGGTGTGACTTTCTCTTGTTGGTGTAAGTTGATGCTGCAGCTGTGACCCTGTAGGATATAGAGGGTATCTTATCAACAGAGATGGAGGATTTATATGTTGAATATGATGAACCTGTCAACTCAAACCCAAGGACCAATCAGACAGGTGAGAGTGTGAACTGACGTGTAGTTACATAAAGTGTGTTTATTGCATTGATCCCTGTGTTCACTGGTCTGAACTGTGAGAGCAGAGAACAGACTTCATTGCAGCTGCTGTATTTTATGTACATATGTGGCTTTTCACACCTCTGAAAAGTGAAACTTCCTCAAAAGTCACACTATTCATGAGCTGAAAGCAACGTCACGTTCATCATTTGACAGCTGGTTGTCTTCTCCTGACCAGTGTGCAGTGGGGTCTTCGTGAGTCTATGTCCCAGCATCCTAAAGAACAGACCTCATGTGGCTGTCTCTGTGGGGCTGTGTATTCTGCTGGTTGTAATCGTCTGTCTCTGTGTCCTCGGTGAGTCTGATCTTCATCCAACCTGAGATTTGAGAGAGTTCAGGTTGCTGGTTGTCATGACAACATTTGCTCAGTATCTTTATTATTTCCTGTGAAAAGATGATGGGATGTTTCTGTAATATAGAACACAACAGTGATGTATTGTATCATGTCTTCATGACTCAATGCATGCATCAGCTTATAGAGTCTCCTCCACCAAAGACAACCTGGCGGAGCGTCTTCAGGTCAGTGGAGACAAGCTGTCCTCAGTGTCTGCAGAGAGAGACCAGCTGAAGGACAACTTCACTGCACAGAGTGAGTGCTGGTCTGTGTGTGTTCTGCTGAGTCGTGTAATATATATAGTACATATAATACATCTGCTCTGTAGTCTATATGTACAGTCTGTTGGCCCTGTCCAAACTTCATTTAAACACACCACACAACACGTTTATGTACATTTCACTCTTTCTTAGTGGCGGTTGCATCTGTTTAGAGCTGAAAGTCAGAGTTTTGGTCCAAATGTTATGATTTAATTACAGCTTTTATCTCTTCAAACCACAGATAAGCAGTTGTGTGCGATCAAAATCTTAAATCTTAGTCTCCTTTGAACAACGCTTATGACGCATTTACGCAAGTAAATGTGGGGATATGAGAGATAAAACCCTAACCCTATGAGGAAATGACTCTACTTCTCTGTAGTGACCAGCAGGGGGCGACTCCTCTGCTCCCATAGACGTCTATGAGGAAATGACTCTACTTCTCTGTAGTGACCAGCAGGGGGCGACTCCTCTGCCCCCATAGACGTCTATGAGGAAATGACTCTACTTCTCTCTTGATTTATTCCCTCAGTAAACATTGTAAACATGAGTTTATGGTCTCAGTCTCTAGTTTCAAGTCTTCTTCAATCCAGCATGATGTTCATTAGTAAATTATGGTCCATTTAGAGTCAAATGAAGCTTTTTCTCAACTGGCCACTACAATATGAGTACATCTGAGTATTATAGCACTTTGGGATTTTCTTAAATATAAAGTGCATTACAAGTTAAATGTATTATTATTACTTAATTGTTTTTGATGTTCATATTATTTTCATTGTGTGATGTATTTTATTTCATGTATTCATGCCCTCCGGCTATATTCTGTATATTTGTCAATACTGATGTAGACCAAATATTCAGATAAGTCATTTTCTTTTCATCAGCTATAATACCTACATTACAACAACATTGAGCTGGTAATATAATTAATTTTCACAATGTTTAAAATAAATCCTTAAACCTCCTTAATACATTTAAAATAATAATTACAGAATTCATATATTTTTATCTTCAACAGGAATTCCTTTCAAACTTCACCACAAGTCGTAGTTGGATTGGTTTGAGTGACAAAGACATCGAGGGAACCTGGAAATGGATTGATGGAACTCCACTGACTGCAGCGTAAGACACACAACAATATTTAAAGATCGACACATATACAACTATTGCTGCATCTATTGTTATTAGTAGTGTAATTGTCTAATATTGGTTGTGCACTACACAAAGAAATGAACTCACTTAGTTAGAAAATGTTATTCCTCATTTTATTTTACTGGAAAGACTTTAAGCTTCATTGAATGTTATTTTGTCCACTTTAGTGTTTAAGAGAACACTCCTGTGAAATGTCTTATCCTCCTCTTAGGTACTGGTACAGTGACGCCAATGTAGTTGAGCCTAATAACGGGGGAGAAGGTTCAACCGTGGAGGAGGACTGCGCTGAGATGAACCCTGACCTGAAGACACAAAACAGCTGGAATGATGTGCCGTGTAACACTGCTTTGCGATGGATCTGTGAGAAACTGGCTTGATAATTGAAACATATCATCTGTAAAGTGTGATTGTGTTTTGGTAAAAGGGCTTTAATGGTGTTGATGTAAGTTGCATTTAGAGACAGAAGGAGACCATGTAAGTCAGGTATCAAGTTCTTAGTATGAATTGATTTTTATAGTTTGACATTGAAGTCGTTTTATTGGGAAATGAACATCTTTACTGTGTGTGTGTGTGTGTGTGTGTGTGTGTGTGTGTGTGTGTGTGTGTGTGCAGCTGGTGACAGAATCAAAGCTGCATATTTTACTAAATAGATATTTGAATAAAAGCTTTCATCCTGAAATACATTTATTAGAGCAACAAAGGCGACTTGAGCTGTTTTCATTAAA